GGGGGGGGGGGGTGCTAGAGACTTATCCGACCGGCCCACATCGTCCGACCGGCCCATCGGGATTCATCCTGAAGGTCCCGATGGCCAGTCCGCCACTAAACGATTTGATATGTCAAATGTGTGTTTTGTAAAGTAATGGGTTAACTGAACATAAGTTAGCCTTTAATACAGAGGCTCATGACATACTTAGTTGTATTGACACAAAGCAAGCATGTGGTGTTTTCAGGTGTTTATCCTTTAATAATGCACACAGGCTTTACAATTATTAGAAAATAATGTTTATTATTGTAAAGGGAAAATAGAATAATGTAGCTTTAGTCTTCTCACGTGCAAGTGTGAAGTGTTTAATGCAACAGACCACATTTGATGGTATTTGTTGGCCACCAAATATGTCTTACTTTCCCTTCTACACTAAATTAAAGTTTGATATTTTACATCTCTTGTTTCTGTTGCTGACCGGATAACTCCTCACCACAGGGGATTAAAGCCGTTACTCATGGGCAGCTGGCATTAAGGTCAGAATATTAATCTTCTCTTTTCAGATTTAAATCGGAGTTTTTTGTTGATTCAACACTTCTTTTAGGCACACATCTTCTTTGAGGTCTCTTAACACATCAACTCCTTGGGTAATTATTATAGGAGTAACGTAAAAAGTATAACTGTGGTATCAGTATTGCACTGTGTTCCATATATAGAATACATGGTTGTAATGCTTTATTAGAATACTAATCCTCGTAAACCCAGGTTTGTAAATCATGTTCAATGTGAAGCAGCGCCACAGATTCTTGCCCTTCTCTCTAAATAATGTGATTTTACAAGGAAATGCATCTCATTACATTCCCAATGGAACAAAAGGCATTGTTTTTAGACATAACACTGAAGGAATAATGGCTTTTAAGGAGATTACTCATGAAGTATTTACCAGGCAAGGCCCATCACTTGAGATTTATTTTACCCTGAAAGAAATGAACACAGAAACACCGTCTCCTGTTTTCACATAATTACACAGAGAAGGCTGTTGCTTACAATAAAAACGAAATAAAAAAACACATCCCTCAAAGAACAAACATGCACTTTTGCTCGGTGAAACTTCTGCGTGGGGAACTCTTGGATGAGGTGTTCAACATTCGGTTTTCAAACTGGATCTGTAGTGTAACGGAGCTCCTGTCCCTCAGATTCAGTTCAGTAAAAGCATCGTGATCTGAAGAGGGTCCATGGCTGTGATTGGAGGAGCAACACCTGCTTTTTTTCTTCCCATAATGCATCAGGAAGCAGGTGGCATCTCCCCCTCACTTCAGGAAAAAATTCGGCTTGTCCCTTAAATGTTTCCACAGCAGTCCCCACTGACCAATCATAAGACATCAAGGTAAAAAAAAAACGAATGCTGGGTTTCCCGTCTGTACGAACCCATCATAAGTCCTCCAACAACACGTTTGACACGACAATGATTCGTAATGTTCGAACTCTCACCTTCCACGTTAGAAAACTGGTTAGGAAGTATCCCGCAGATCTTTGGCCTTAATCAGGATGGTGTTGACGTCTGAGATGGGGTAATCCTGGGGAGACATCAGTGGAAATCAAGAGTGAATCCAGTTCTGAAACATCGTGTCTGATTATGAAGCTTTGGGGTTTTTACGCTTCATGTGATTTATGAAAAGCCTCACCTGCAGGAGTCTCATGTTCACCGTGAAGTCTCCGGCCAGTAAGTTATCTCTGATGAGTCTGTGGCGGCAGAGATGGCAAAAGTACACACATCCTTTAATCAAGTAGAAGTACAGATACTCGTGTTTACACATTGAAATAAGTGCAGAGAGCATGGAGAGGAGGCTCACATTAACATGGCGCAGCAGACCAGGATGAGGAGGTGGAATCTGTCCTGGTCGGAGAACAACGTGTCCCAGATCCGGATGACGTCGGGCAGGAGGAACTCCTGAGACAGCAGCAAGGTCAACCAGCGGAAAGTGAAGTACTGAGGTTTGATGTTCTGCTCCTCCTGGGGGGGGCAGAGATGGCAAAAGTACACACGTCCTTCACTCAAGTAGAAGTACAGATACTCGTGTTTAAAAATACTCTGGTGAAAGTAGAAGTACTGACTAAACTTCTTCACTCAGGTCAAAGTAAAGAGGCTTTGAAATGTACTTCAGTAAAAAGTACCCATAACTAGCAGCTGTTTTAAAGAGTACCTGACCTCCCTTTATATTAATAGAACAATAATGTCATTGTTAGCTAATGAATGTTTCCATGCTGAACAACGGCAACATGACAACGTTTTCATTGGTCCCTCTTCTTTAGAGAAGACCAGGAAATGATGGATACACGGATCGTGTTCAAATCAACAGGCACGCAATGACTCTAAATAATAATGATCACGCCACCAAACACACATTCAGACTAAAGGAACCAGCCTGTTTGGAAAATGAGAGAAGTAGAAAGTGCAGGTATTTGAGTTCAACATGTGAGAAGTAGAAAGTACAGGTATTTGTGTTCAACATGTAAGAAGTCAAAGTAAAAAGTCGTCAGAAAAATAAGTAATGGAGTAAAGAACTGATACCAGAAACATGTACTTAAGTACAGTAATGACAGAGAGAACGTTCCCATGTTCAGGAGCAGGAAGTAGGAATGTTTACCAGCTTGAGGTAGAGCTCCAGGTCTCTCTCTCGCAGCATGGAGTACACGCTCTCCATCTTGTACGTGATGCCGCACTGAGAGTCGTCCAGGCTCTTGATGAAGTTGTCTCTGTTCTCTGACATCAGGTTGGTGAAACAGAAGAACGTATCTGCTTCAGCGTGCTCTGACAAATATAGAGTACAGGAATCACAAATCACTTTCTACACGTCAGAAATGTAACACATCGACTGTGTTTCTATACACCGAATGAATGTATATGTGTGTATGTTGATGTATGTGGGTAAGTAATAGGTGTATGTGTATATGTATGTATGTATGTGTACGTACATGTTTGTATATATATATCTATGTATATGTGTATGTATGTGCTTGTATGT